ATACATAATTCTTTGATGCTTGCATCACATGTAGACAGGGTGGTTAAGAAGGCATTTAGCAACTTGCCTTCATTGCTCAGTATAGGAGTTGGGAACATCACGTTGAGGTTGTACAGGACGTTGGTGAGGCCTTTTCTGGAGTACTGTGTGCATTTCTGGTCGCCCCGTTACAGGAAGGATATTAATAAACCGGAGAGGATTCAGAAAAGATTTTACTAGAATGTTGCTGGGAATGGAGTGTTTGAGCTATAAAAATAGACTGGAAAGGCTGGGACTTTTTTCACTGGAGCATAGGATGTCGGGGGGTGACCTTATTGAGGTTAATAAAATCATGAGGAGCATAGATAAGGTGAATCACAAGGGTCTTTTCCTAGGGTTGGGGAGTTCAAAGCTGGGGGCATATTTTTAAGGTGAGAGGAGAAAGTTTTAAAAAGAACATGAGGGGCAACTTGCTTACACAGAGAGTGATTCATGGGTGGAATGAACTTCCACAGGAAGTGGTGGATGCAGGCACAGTTACAACATTTAAAAGACGTTTGAATAAGTTCATGAATAGGAAAGATTTGGAGGGATATGGGCCAAGTGCAGGCAGGTGGGACTAGTTTAGTTTAGCAACATGGTCAGCATGGACTGGTTGGACTGAAGGGCCTATTTCAATACTTTATGACTCTATGACTCTATAACTGCCATGTGAACATGGAGGTAAACTGCCTTTTGGCCCAATGCATTCTGCGTGGTCCAATTCCAACCAGAGTGCTGTGAGAAAGGGAGTTCCAGATTTCTGACTGAGCCTCAGCGAAGGACTCTCCTCTCACCTTATTATTCCAAGTCAAAACATATAAGAAAGTACAAAGAACACAACTATCACTGAGTTCATCTATAATTGGAGTATGACTTTGAGAATTTACTGAGTGAAAGAAAAAGTTAATTTTACGAGTAATTATTTCTCTAGCCAGTAGTGCTGAGTCTTCAAGTATATGTAACATGTTGGTTTCATAGGTACGGAGTAATAGTTAGAAAAGCTGCATACTAATGGCTAGACTGCACCATTAGGTTTGGCAGATCACATTGGAGTAGGGCCATTTCAATAATGTCTCAGTACATAGTATAAATAGTTAATAATTTTAGCAGTTTTCATGAGCATGTTGGTCATTCATTCTGGGGTAACTCCACAGGGGCCAATATCCCATCACCAAGTCCCCCTTTATTTACACAGGGAGAGTCCTTGACACTGATCCAGCTCCCTCAGAGCCAGCTCTCAGAGTGAACAGGATGTCTGACACTCCTGTTCCTATCCATCAGCCAGGGCTCCCTGATTGGACCAGATTAATCGGGGAACTCATATTTTATGAGGTCTATCTGGCTGACCTCATTATAATCATGACATATCATTTCTTATAGTAATCAGAACCCAGTCATGAAATTTATAGATGGTGACACTCTTACTGTGCAGTCTGTGATTCATTTAAGAGGGATCTCAACTGATGCTGATAAAGGCAAGCAAGAGAAAAGCCATCAACCCAATACAATGCACTCAGATATAAATGCAGCAGTAATTACAGCAAATCACCACTATCAGAGTCCTGCAACAGTCAAAGTAGAAGTGCACAAAATAATAATAATAGTCTTGCCTCCATCTGAGCCCTTAGGCTTCAATCACACTTGTTAGAAACTGGTGTTGTTGATTCCATCAGTACACTGCCACCTCCAGACTCACTCAGAAATCCAACAAGGATCACATCAGTGTGATCCTAAATACAATCAGCTGCTGTACCAACAATATTATAAGAAGACAAGGGATTGATGAGGAAACTGCTATATTTACAGAGATTCATTAAAGCCTTTGACTCATAGCAGGCATTTCAAAGGGAGGCTCTTATTGACGCGGGAAAGGTCTATGTGGCTACTCTCAGCTTCACAGCAAATTTCTATTGGATGGCAGCTAAGCACAGAGAGACAAGAACTTCGAGAGTACCTACACCAAATCTGAGCAGAAAGGCTGAGGTCACAGTCACTGCATTGCTCCAGGTTGATATCGTAAATGCCTCACTGGCATCACGTTTGCTCAAACATCAATGCAGAGTGCAATGGTATGTTGCAGAGGAAATTTCCAAACCAATTCAAAAACTTAAAGGGAGATTGACCAGCGTCCAAGCATCATGATCAATAGCTAGAGAACAGACTTCAAATTAAATGCTGGAGTAGGAGTAAAATTATTTTTTGACTGAATAGTGGCTGAAACTTGATTTTCCCCAGCTTCAATGATACAATCTTGTACTTCAGTTGAAAGTGAAGGCACAGTTGATGCTACACCTCAGTGTAATGGCAGAGTAATTATCGAGATTCTGTTATATATAATCAGGAGTGTTCATCACTGATATGGACAGCTTGCTTGGATTTGAAACTTCTCCAGAAGGTGGAGATGCTAAAGAACCAGAACAAACCAGAGGAAGTTCAAGTTAAAACCTCCAAAAGTTTTCATGGATCTGGTGAAGCTGCAAATAGTTTACCATATTACAGTAAGGCAAAATACCAAATCAGTTTGTTTGTTAACTCCAAGAAAGGTTCCACACCCACCTTGAAAAAGGAGAGATGAGAAATTGAAGCTAATATACAGTACAGCATAATATTGCAGGTAAAATAACCCACTGGTTCCTGTTCCCAAATCCAATGGCTCACTCTGCATGTGTGTGCACTTTGCACAAGTGAACAAGTCTGTGACAAGGGAGATCCACCCCATGGCATCTGTGGATGCTAGCCTTGTCCCACCTCCAAAATGACAGAATCTAACCTTATTACCCCTGATATTCAATTATATTACCATTGCTGAACCCTTCACCATCAAAATCTTGACTGTGTGGACCCTCCATCTACCACCTTAGACATTTGCGCCCTCTGACACTGACAGACAATGTCAGCTGTGTGTACCATACACAAGATGCACTGCAGCAGCTCATCATGACTGCTCCTCTGACAACATTACTTTTTAAACACACAAATTCTCTACCTCTTAGAAGGACAATAGCAGCAGACAGATGGAAGTCTCACTTTTAGCAATTCTATTCCAAGCCACATACCACTCTATCTTGAAACTATAGTTGATGTTCATTTACTGTCCCTGGGCCAAAAGCCTGAAACTCACTTTCCAACAGCATTTGTGAGTGTAATGACACCAGATGGACTATAGCAGTAGCTCACTTCAACCTTTTCCATACAATTAGGATCAGGTTACATATGCAGACCTTGCCAGCAGTGCGCAAGTGCTGTGAAATAAGAGAAATACCTTTTCAAATGCGTTTCTGATTGAATAAGAGAGTGATAGCTGGCTTTCCAAGTGTTGTTGTTTTCTTCTTACTTGGATTATTCCAGATGTGGGATAGATCCGGTGTTATCACCATAAAAATTACAGTCTAGCCCTGCATCAACTAACAAGCTGAGTAACAGGCTTTAGTGGGTATTGCTCTGAATGATGTAGGCTGCTGAATCCCAGTTTTGCCCTCTCCTGACTAAATTGCTGATCATTGAACGGTGTCACTCTCCATTGCTGCACCTGCTGAGTATTTTCAGCACCTTCTGTTGGAGGGCACATCAAAGTATTCATTGCTGCTTGATAATTATGCCTTCATTATCAAAAAGGTTAGTTATCAACAGTTTATCAATAATCGTTGCTGATATTGCCTTTATGATCCAACAGCCAAAATTTGGATGCTTAATCTGAGATGAGCAGAAATGAAGCTTTATAAAAACTGACACATGGCACTTGTTTTACATCTTACATTCATTTTCATTATCAAGCGCAATGACTTGTCTAAAACCCGCAGTTTCAAAATAATCAGTTGGACAAACTCAACTGTCTAGTCTTACACTCAAGCCCAAAGGGCTGGTTGTAATTCTGCCCACTGATAGGCAGCTAAAACAGCCACAATGATTTTCTTTTTGGAATCCTAATGGATTGCAATTTAAACTTATTCCTTTGAACAGGTGAATGGAACCCCTATTTAAAGGAGTGAGGCAACATTCCAATTTTAACTGAATGTGGGTAATGGGAGATGGATCTAGAGTGTCAATAATCTCAGATACATTTATAACTTTATTCATTTTTCTTTGCAGGCCTAGAGGAACCTTAGGCCTCTTTTGTTCCTCTCTCCTGGTTACAATACCCTCACAAACCCGATCTGAACAACTTACCTGACACCTGCCATCCAAATTATTGCTTTCTTTGGGAAACGGAACCTTCCCATTGGACTTGGAAGGTGACTAATTAAAATTTGACTTGAATGTCTTGGGTCTCATGTTGTGGAGAATAGACAGCTTTCTGTGCTTCACAGAACAATGTCTACATGATTCCTTGTGAGGGTGAAAATCCAAACACAAAATGCTGACATTGCATTTGTGTCAGACATGAACATCCCGAATGGGTGATAGATGTACCAAGATGATCCTGCATTTAAATAATTCGTTTTCATTACAGTGCTTATTAGCTATAAGATATATATAATTACAGGTAATGATGTTATAGTTTCAGTGAATGGAACATAATTGTAGTTTTTCAAGTTTGTATTATTTGTTTTAAAAAGAATGTTAACAAATATGAAAAACAATGCCAATTTGATACTCTGCAGTTAATCGAATAAAACAACATATATTTGCTGCACTTCTTTTCTGATGCATATTCCACAGTAATGACACAATGGAAGTAGGTAATAACAATGTTTAATTGTTTTGATATCACTGTTTTAATGTAGAGACTCATTTAGGTGCTTAACTTTGGCATGAGAATAAGATGTTGTTTAAGAGAGGATGATAAAGCGTATGGTCAGAGAAGCAATTCTTAAGGATATTCTTGACAGACAGGTATTACAGTCAACATCAGCAACAACATAGGAAGCACAGTACTTGACATTCATATTCAAACTGGATATATAGGTTTATAGATCTATTGGCTATGCTGTAGTACAGTAGAACATAATTCTAGAGACAATGCAAAATCATGCACCTACCTCCTGCGCTCTTTTGGTCCCTTTCCTGACTGGAATCCGTGGACTCGGCACTGACAATGCTTATCTTCCCTAGAAAATCAGCCAAAGATGGAATATCATTATGGGAATGAATATAAACAAGCAGAAAATCATTGCTTTCTGATATTTAAATGATAATGGTGCAAAACGTGTTAATGAACCTCCAAATTAATTGATACAGTTTTGATCCTATAACACATGACAACATGAGAAATATGAGCAGGTGCTGGCCAGATGACCCTTCCAACTTACTCCATCTGAGGGAAGAATGATTTAAATCTAGGCCAGGTTAGGTTCCTGAAGGACATTAGCAAACAAGTTGGTATTTTATAGTAAATTAGTAGTTTTATCATTGTCTGCTATCTGCCCACAGATTATCAGATTTATTGAAGTTAGTCACCATAATAGGAATTAAGTTTATGATTGCTGGATCACTAGTCAAGAATCATAAGCTAATGTTTAGCATAATACATTGTGTAGGTAAAGAAATCAGGCTAATGATCATAAAGGTTACCATATGGATTAGAAAGCTCCACAAACTAATTTTTAAAAAAAAAATTCATAGGATTAAATGGACGTTATTTGCTAGGCCAGCATGTAATGCCTATTCCTAATTGCCTTTGACGTGACCCTTCCCAACCCGAAACGTCAGCTTTCCTGCTCCCCTGATGCTGTCTGGCCTGCTGTGTTCCTCCAGCTCTACACGTTGTTATCTCACGCTCCAGCATCGGCAGTTCTTACTATCTCATTCTTGTACAAGTGTTGTCTATGTGCTGTAGGTATACCCACTGGTCTGATAGGGTTGGTGTTCCAGTATTTTAATACAGCAACAGTTTCACGTCAGAAAGGTACGTGACTTGGAAGGGAATTTTCAAGTGATGGTGCTCCCAAGCATCTGTCCTTCTAGGTTGTAAAAGTCACAAGTTTGGAAGGATGTTGTTGAAGGATTCAAAAGGCAAGTCTCCAAAGTTGATCATGTGCATGATACACACTGCTACCACTGTGCATTGGCTGTATAGTAAATAAATACTTGAAATGGTGGTTGGTGTCATCCAAGCAGGCTTTTTCGTGCTGGATGTTCTTGAGCTTCTTGAGTGTTGTTGCAGCTGTAATAATCAAGGCACTCCATCACACTCCTGATTTGCATGTTGGAGGTGGTGCACAGTCTTTGGGGAGTCAACAGGTAAATTATTCAGCACTGCCTCTCATTTGATCCTGTAGCCATGGCATGTATATGCCTCGTCCAGTTCAGCTTCTAGTCAATGGTAATCCCAGGATGTTAATAGTGGGGGATTCTGTGATTGTAATGCCATTGAAAGTCAGGGGTAAATGGTTGGATACTCCCTTTTTTGAGATTTTCATTTCCTGACACTTGACTCATGAATGCCGCTTGCAATTTATCAACCCACGCCTGCATGATGTTGAGGGCTTACTGCATATGGTCACAGACAGCTTCAGTATCCAAGGAGCTGTGAGTGATACTCAACACTGTGGAATAATCAGCGAACATCTCCATTTCTGACCTTATCACAGAGGGAGGGTTGTTGATGAAGTAGCTAAAGATGGTTGAGCCCACGGCATTACTCTGAGAAGTCCTGCACTGATGTCTTTGGGCTGAGATGATTGATCCCCACCAGTCACAACCAACCTCCCTTATGCAAGGTCTGGCTCCAAGCAGTAAAGAGTTTTCTCTTGATTTCTAGTCTGGGTTCTGAGGTCCACCCAGTGAGTGAGTTGTCATGGTGGACGTAAGGGCAAGAGTGGTAGATATTGGCATGATTTGAAACCAAGTTGCCATCAGGGACATGGGGGTAGCTAAAGGGGCATAGGTTAACATTATCAGTCGAGGCATAGATTATAAGAGCAGGGAGGTTATGAAGGAGCTGTACAAAACTTTGGTTAGGACACAGCAGAATGACTGTGTGCAGTTCTGGTCACCACATGGTAAGAAGGATGTGATTGCACTAGAAGGGTTGAAGAGGAGATTCACCAGGATGTTGTCTGGGATAGAGCATTTCAGCTGTGAACAGAGGCTGGATAAGTTTGGGTTATTTTCTTTTGGAGCAGAGAAGGTTTAAGGGGGGGTTCCTGTTAGACGTGGATAAAATTATGAGGGGCTAGGTAGAAAGCAGTTGCTCCCCTTAGTTGAAGAGTCAAGAGGGCACACTTATAAAGTGAAAGGAAGGAGATTTAGAGGCAATTTGAGGAAAATGTTTTTCACCCGGGTGTAGGTGGGAATCTTGAATGCATTACTTGAGAGAGTAGTTTGGTGGTAACCTCACAATCTTTAAAAAAGTACTTAGATGATCACTTTAAGTGTCATAACATTCAAAGCTATGGGCCAAGTGCAGAAAGGTAGGACTCATGTAGGTGGTAATGGAATTTTGGTGATATACTTGAGGGCCTGAAGGGTATCTTCTGTACAGTATGGTTCTGTGGCTGTATAGGGGCTATAAGCAGTAGGCTGTGGGTAGAGGGGCATAGGTTGATGGAAAGGGTATCAAGGACCATGGGGATATATGGCACAGGGGCTATAAAGGGCCATGGAGATGGGTAGAGCAGAGTAGTTGGCATAAAGCATATGGGGATGCGATGGTCAAGTGGTATTATCATTGGACTGTTAATCCAGAGACCTGGATAACGTTCTGGGGACCCAGGTTCGAATCCCGCCTCGTCAGATGGTGGAATTTGAATTCAATAAAAATATCTGGAATTAAGAGTCTAATGATGACCATGAACCTGTTGCCAATTGTCAGGAAAAAACCCATCTGGTTCACTAATGTTCTTGGGGAAGGGAAACTGCCATCCTTACCTGGTCTGGCCTACATGTGATTCCACAGCAATGTGGTTGACTCTTAACTGCCCAGAGGGATGGGCAATAAGTGATGCCCTGATCCCATGAATGAATAAAGGAAACAAAAATATGATGAGCTATTGGGTTGTGGGTGAGGGTATGAAATGGCATGTTGGGCATAGGAATGTCATGTGTAAAGGGTCTGAGTTGTTTTAGTTTTGTTGTTTTTGTTACAGTGGGAACAAAGTGCTGGTTTTTCCTACAGCCCACTTCCACACCCAGCAGTCCCTTTGGTGACTTCCAAACTATTCCCAAGGGTGGGAATCATCAACTGCACACCACTTCCCCCTGCCTCTCCTCAATAGAAAATCTGAAAAATCTGAACATTCAGAGCAACATTGCGAGGGTTGAGTTTGCAAAACCAGGAATTGCCCAGATGCTATGCTCCTGACCTGGAAATGAAATCACAGTTTAATTTCAGTGACCTTTGTGAAAACAGGCACAATGGGCTGAATGGCCTACTCCTTTTGCCATATTTCTATCTTAGCCTTTGGTCTTGCGATGCTCAGGGTATTTCTGATTGTGGGTATCCATTGCCCAACATAGCTTTCCTGTTGTGTTATGGGTCAGGGATGCTGTGTCCCTTGTGTTGACAACATCTTCTCATCTTCTCAACCTTGGGGATTGTGGGGCTTCTCTTGGGTCTCATTTCAATAGACTTATGTATCGTCTGAGAAAACAGTAAGTTGTGGATCATGAATCATTTTATGTTGACTAGAAACTTTTTTAGCTATGCAGATACAAGTAAAAAATAAATAGAAAATGCATTTTTCACTGCAGCACAGTAAATGACATTAGCACAAATATCAAGTCTGTGTACATTGAATATTCAGGACCTGGCTGAGAGTTAATACTTTTATTGAAGGAATCAGATAATCTGGTTTTAGTATGCAGTTTCGAAGGCCACTAAATTCCCAAGCGCTGATAATCTGCATCCCAGGTTACTTACGGAAATGGTGGTCATCTTTCAAGAGTCTATACATTATGGTATAGTTCCTACAGTAGTAAGTAATATAAGCCAGGAATTATGGACCAATCAGACTGTAGTGTATTGTGGGGAAAATGCTAGAGTCCATTGTAAAAGAAATAATAAAAGAATTAATAGCTGAGCATTTGGGAAACAGTGGCAGGACTGGACAGATTCGGCATGAACTTTCGTAAAAGAAATCATGATTAACAAATTTACTGGAGTTCTTTGTAAAGATAACTCATAGAGTTGATGAAGGGGAGCCCATGGATAAGATTTGGACTTTCAGAAGGCTTTCGACAAAGTTCCACATCAGAGAGTAACGTGTAAAATTAAAGCGCATAGCATTGGGGATAGATAGAAAACTGGTTGGCAGACAGGAAATAAAGGGTGTTTTTCTGAATAGTGAGCAGTAACTAGTGGGGTACCGCAAGGATTAGTGCTAGGAACCCAGCTATTCACAATATGTATGTTAATGATTTGGATGACGGAAGTAAATACAATATTACCAAATTTGCAGCTAACAGAAAACTGGGTGGAAGACTGAGCTGTGAGGAAGATGCAGAGATGCTTCTATGTGATTTGAACAAACCAAGTGAGAGGGCAAATGCATGGCAGGTGCAGCATATTGTGGGTAAATGAGAAGTTACTCACTTTGGTAGCAAAATCATTAAGACAATGTCTTCTGTCTTAATTTCTGTTCAGGCAGTGTTACAAATCAGATACAGTGGTGTGGGAAAAAGGCATGTCAAAGTAAAACAAAAAAGGCCAAGATTATGTGTAAATAATGCATTTGGAGGTACTTCTTTGGAAACAATTTAATAGATGAAACAGAATCAGGTAAAGGTGGTTTCACCCAATATAATGACAGAGGACAAGAGATTGATTAGGATGGTGTGAAAAATGCATCTGAAACAACAGTTAAGATGAATAAGGATGACTTACTCAGCATGGCCACTTTCACAAAATATCTGCATTAGACCACAAAATTTAGGAACAGAAAGCCATTTGGTACATTGACTCTGCTCCACCATTCAATCATGACTGGTATGTTTCTCAAACCCATTCTCCTACCATCACCCCCATAACCCTTGATCTCCTTACTAATCAAGAATCTGTTTATATTTGTCTTAAATACACTCAATGACTTGGCCTCCACAGCCATCTGCAGCAATGAGTTCCACAGATTAACTATCCTCTGGCTAAAAAAAATCTGCTTATCTCAGTTCT